AATGAAGGGGAGGGGGGCTTGAATCCACATCAGCCCCATAATGGTTGGAGCTGAGGTGAGAAAATTTGAGGAAATAGTACCTCTCGAGATGGCCGGAAATGACACTTTTATTATAATTTTTCATCATCACATTACCATTATTGTCAAAATGTAACGCCAACAAATTTCTCATGATCTTTTATCAGGGATCTACTTAATATCCAGGACAACTTAGGCCTAATTATAGCTTACTAAGCTTTAACTATACTATATTATGATCAACAAATCACAACTTTTTTTCGCATTTAGCACAATTTTCTTCACTTTTTATTGTTATTAATATTAATATCAATTATTACTATCTTCATCATCATCATTGTTATTATTATTATTACTATTAGTAGTAGTATTATTAAACAAACATTTAAAGAAACTTGCAAAAAGATAAAAACAAAATTGAACCACAGTATCGCATTTCTATCTTAAAAGACCTGGCCTGAGATTTATGGATTTAAGATTTTTTAAATCACGCTTTAGGCCTATGTGTTCTATTAGGCCTATGTAACGTGTACTGATGCATATTTACATGTTGCATTTTGAGTGATCCCAGGAAAGAATTTGTATTGGCTCAAGAATAAGCTTTAATATTTACACACTGTGTACAAAGGGGGTGGGGGAGCCGCGGCTCCCACGGCTCCCCCCTGGATACGTCCCTGATACACCATCTTAGCATGCAGGAAGCATTGTTATAAGGTTAAACTTCCAGGAGTGAACTATTTATGAGGTTTTTTTTTTAAACTGGGGTACAGTAGGTCTTTTCAAAGTCACGTTATAGAAGTGAGGATATTCCAACCCTGTCATTTGTGAATGTGGAACTGAGCCTCAGACCATGCAACACCTCCTGCAGTGCATGTTAGAAGTGTGCCCAGCTATGGGCAAAATTTGAAGTACTGTATATGGATTCAATAAGCAAGCATAATCATTACATTCCAATCTACACTGTAAAACATGTGGAGGATTAAAACAAGTATTTGTCCCGTTGGTCTTCGACGAACTCGATTCTACGGAAAAAGCAACACCACGACAAGCGCGCAAGATCCGTTCAGACAGCCACCGACAAGCATCAGCAGACTGCGTCGCGTCGTTCTAACGCTCCACTGGATTCATCGTACGACAGTGAATGCCAGCTTACGTTCATTTACTTCGAAAATCTGTGGCCAAGTAGGAAATGCAAATGAAACGCCGTATAAGACAGTATTAATTATATGCTAATTGGCGAAGTTTTTTTTTTTTTTTCTGTTTTTTTTTTTTTTTTTTTTTTTTTTTTTTTTTTTTTTTTTTTTTTTCCAGGCTAATAATTCAGTATAAACAATTTAGGTTTGTTTATATGCTACTGTAATTTTAAATTACTACTGCAAAGATTTACTATTGTGTGTGACATATGTAGTGAAATTTACTGCTTGTTTATTTTAATTAATAAATTCATTTGTTTTGTATTTATTAAGTCTATATGTTTTTCTTATTGTCATAATGACATGCATAAAAGATCTTCATGCAACCCATACCACTTCGACGATTCCACTCTCTGCAACGAATGTTTCTTTTCGTGTGTATTATGAAGTTAAGATGGAGTGAGTTCTGTATTATTGTATCCATTGTGCTCTTTGCTTTGTAGACCTACGTGTTTTTGTCATGTATGTGCCGCGATGTTTACCATCCAAGCAATAGCAAATAAACGTACGTGACTGTGTGTATCTATTTGTTTCGAGGATTTGTTAGTTTAAAATTTCTGACCAATTAGTTCCCTGAATACGGTTGACTCCATTGTGGTTTATTAGTCAAGTTTGGAAACTAGAAGCTCCGACATTCCAATTCCATCGCTACGGCCACCTGAAGTCGTCGCTTTTCTGGTTTGGTTTACCGGTGAATGGAGACACTGAACGTACGGTTGTGCACGAAAATCGGTCGTGTCATCGAACCCCATCAATGATTTAATGCAATTGTTCTGTGACCTTATAATGTTGCCATAACGACCGTGTATGAACAAGAAGCACACGTTTCTATTTACATATATTATATTTTTCAAGTGTACAAATGTATAGATTGAGGTGTATACATTAAACGACAATATCAATAATATAACACATAGACCTAATAAATACCCGTAGACCATGTGCACCACACATGCATGAAACGTATCTTGTAAATTTTGTAGAATACATAACTCTTAACTTTCTGTTCTAGACTTCTAAATTCTAGCAATGATGAATACAATTTGACAATACTAAATGTAAATTATCATGGTGGTATGATGGTAGACTGATCAGTATGCTCCATCATAGCTCATAAACATTAGGATTCCATGCTGATCTTAGTACTGTAGAACATAATTACGATGCATTTCAAAGTACAGTATACAATGCGGACTGTATCCAGCTACTTCATGACATACTGTCGATATCAGAAAACTTAAAAACGTTATTTATAGATTAGGCGGAAAAATATTCTAATTGTAGGCATTTGAAAATTAAGTGATTCTATAACAGCACGCTGGGTTGAGTAGGCCCACTTAACTGTACAAGCAGGACACTATTATGATTATTTAATCACTTTGATTATAGCATTTCTGTGGCCTATTCACTACAGGTACTCCAGGCCCCGTAGTCAATATGTTAAAATCGATATTCTTTGAGTGCTTACTGTATCCCCATAGGGATAGGCTAAACCTTCCTGTGGCGAAAGAATTTTACTGAACATTACCTAATGACTGCAATATTGTTGATACAATTACATCCTTCATGCCCTTAGTAGAACGTAATTGTTTTGGTAATATAACAACATGATGGCCTCATGTTCATTTTTCCCCCCATTTTTCGGAGTTACCATACTCATGTTCTCAAAACAAGATTGTCTTATTTTTTTACCGTCGTCATCGGAATCCTGTTTGTTATATTATCGTTATTGTTATACTGTTTTTGTGATAAATATAAAACATTAAACCGCATACTGCCATATTTTGGTCTACTCAACCATTTTTATAATATTTTGGCCAAGAAATAACATTTTTTTGCCTTACTAGTTTACACTATACAGTATCATCAGTCAATACTTTTATGAGTTTTTACCTTGATCCTGATTTGTTTTTTGTGTTACTACAGTATATGAACACAAGTTTTCCCAGGTATTAAATTTTGCATTAGACTGACAACTTTGATAAGGCTATATATTATACATGTGTTGCAGTATAGGACAATCAATGTGCAATGTGTGACGTGATAATTATGATTTTGGGGAATCTGAAACGAATAATTACCATGAAATTCAGAGGAAATGTTGAAGTGAAATATGATGATCTTAATTCAATCTTGCATGCGATGCAGGGAAGTACTCTCATATTTCCTTTGATTAAATTGCCCGACTTTGTCGACATGCAGTTTCAATCTCGAATAATTAAGCCACCTTAATTAGTTTTATTTGCGCAAGTCTGCCAAAAGTCCATGCATTTAAACAGACATTAGCAAATACAGTACCGTACGGTATGTAGGCCTACTGTGTAAATGGACATTTTTTTAAATGAAGCGTTGTTGCCCTTTGGTAAATCCATATCAGATGTACGCCATGTTATTTGTTTGTTTTGAAGCTGTGTTCACACTATCATATTTTTATTTGACGGAAAAAAAAAAAAAAAAAAAAACTCCAAAAAACCCCCCAAAAACAAAACTGTTGTATGCCCATTTATAGTCATAATGTGCCTATTTATAGTCATAATGTGCCTATGATCATGATGCGATGTCATCATGACTATTTAGGCGTGTCACATGTTTTTGTCAAAAATATATTTGATAGTCGAGACAGGGCTTAAGGACTATGCACTGACCTTCGACATTGTGTATTGAGTGCGTAACTGTGTAGTGAGCGCGTATACTGTTTGGCAGTCAGACGACTTCGCTTAAATTCAAAAGTATTTATTCCAAATAAAAAAAAAAAAACCAAAAGAAAAAAAAAAACCGTAATACAGCACAATTCAAATACATCAAATGAAAAGGAATACAGTAGGACAACCACAAACAAGCCAATAAACTTTGAAACTGTGGTGGCAGCTGATAAACACTTGCACGAAAAAAAAAAATCTGACCACTGACATCGGTCATCCTTCTTTGGCTGTGCACAGATTTTACTAAAGTTCTTGCGTCACGGTTGTTGATTTGCGCTGTGTACTGTAAATGGATCGGGAACCCAACCGTAAGTAAATACTGTACCGCCGCAGTTTTTGTCAGGGCGGACAAACACTACGTCTTAAGGCGGTCGTACGACGATTCAATCTTCGCTCTCTGTGAGTGCTCGGCGACGCCATGCCGTCTGCTGATTCTCGGTGGTAGACTGAGCATATTGTCATAGAAAACGATTCCGTTGCGCGTCCTTCGTCACGTTGCGTTCTACATGGGATCGCGTCGACGACAGTGTTTGTCATCTATGAATCTTCGCCTCTTAAAATGTGGTTTCTCTAGATTTTCACAATATTTTTAATGTATTTGGCTGTCGATATTCATTGTTTTCTTTCTTTTTCTCTTTCAGTAATGGACCATATGAAAGCTCGCGCCCGGCCCAGGTGGGTCAAGCAGCAGCAGGGTGCGAGGCAGCGTTGGTTACTACGTATGACTATCATATTTGCTGTTTTCTGCACATCCTCCATAGCATATGCTAAATTGATATCAACATCAGAACAGCCTAAAGGTATAGCCCGATTTTGGGTCGAAGGTTGCATTAGATTTCCCCCTCCCGCAGACTTGCACTTTAGAAAAGAGGACGGTGCAGGATGGGAAGGGTATGGATTTACGCTTTGAAGACTGGTTATACCGCCAAGCGGCTGGGAAACGCCTAGTGATTCTCACCTCCAGAGGACTAGTATAATCCAGATTATACTGCAGGTAAGTAACCCTTGCATAATCTTAAATTTTTTGTCACATAAAATTTGATAGTGTGGACAGAGCTTCAAATTTCTATCAACAAATTGTTATTTTTGACTTTTTACCAATAGCTTTAGCAATCATATGCGATGATTTCTTTGTACCATCACTTGAAGCCATATCAGAGAAACTGGAGTTGTCTGAGGATGTCGCTGGGGCAACATTTATGGCTGCCGGATCATCGGCCCCTGAATTGTTTACCTCAATCGCTGGCGTATCCGTCGATAGCGATGTTGGAATCGGCACTGTCGTAGGCTCAGCTGTGTTTAACATTCTGATTATTATTGCTCTTACGGCTGCATTAGCTGGCAAGGTAACTGGCCTGTACTCACATTTTTAAAGTAATTGAAATCTGATATAAATTAAATTAAGTATTTTGTGATTAGAAAACAAAAGTAAACATCACCTTTGTAGAGGGAATTGCAAGATCTCCGACTCTCGAGAATTCCTTGGAACGGAATCCTATTTTGAAAAGTACTACCGCGAACTAGAGGGTGTCCTTCCAAATAACGTAAAAGGCAATCGTATCGAGCGCCTGCTGCGTCTATAGCGAGTCGGACCTCATGCAATTCCATACTCTTTGTTTATACTATCTTCAATACTAATTTACTAATATAGTGTCTACCTCTTAGGTTCTAGCCCTTGATTGGCGACCACTCATCCGTGATAGTACATTTTATGGTATATCAGTAGTGTTGTTCATTGGATTCTCGTGGGATGGCGTATTCGAAATATGGGAAGCTATCATTTTACTTGTAATGTACGGCTTGTATATAGCCATCATGAAATTCAATGGAAGTTTAATGAAACTTATGGATAAACTTACTTGGTAAGTACAACATAGAGCTTTAGGGTGTTTTTTTTCAATTTGCTTTTTTATATTTTGGTCTTAACTGTATGATGATATATTGTTTGTTCGTTTTTATTATTCCTTATCTTTACTTTCATAATTATTATTATTCATCCATTTTTGTGTTACTATACCTAATGTTACTTAATCGTCTTTCTTCCTAGCACATATTGTCGTCATCCAGAAGTTTCACCTATAGACGCAGACCTTGCAACAGCTGCGGTTGTTGAAGCACAGCCACCTAAAGAAGAAAGCGTAACTATATTACCTGCAAAAATATCTGCTCTACCACCGGTAAAAATATTTCTGCAAAATTAAAAAAAAAAAGTGTGTTGTGCTGTGAAAAGGTGGAATGTCATTATAAATATGAGGTGTCGTGACAAAATGAGTCTTGTTGTACATCATGATGAAGACAATATATGAACTCTTGGGGTTTCAGTGTTTCTGATTAGTATATACTGTAGGCCTATATACTTCCTGAATTCATTAACAACTTTGAAGGTGTTTTTCAGTATTGTTAGGAAAATCTACACAAAACAAATTAGTTGTTTATCTTTAGGGGCGATTATCTCTAAAGTATGTTTTCAGACTTCTGAATTCGAAAATTGTATTACTCCAGTTATGCTCAACCTAGGAACTTGATTCAAATACCAAACTAAGGCTTATAACTATCTATCTATCAATAACTCATTTTGTTTTAAATTTGGTACAAAAGCATTATTTTGTGACGACACCTCAGAAAAAGTTGTGCAATCTTGTTTTAACTGTGTATGTCTATCTTGGGGCGTGAATTATAATATGCATCATTTAATAGTGGACAGTTGCGCTACGCTCTGCCATATAACTGTTGTTGCTAAATCACCATAAACAAAACGACAGTTGTTTGAGTGTGATTGACCCTTGAAGTTCCATTAAGTTTCGTTGTAGCATATTGCAGTGATCATTTTGTTGTCAATCCAACTGTACTCTTCACTTCTGGCTATTTGTATTCATAGGAGAAACGAATCAAACTGCGTCGTGCGACGGTCGTACGACCGTCGGACGACGCAGTGAGTGTCCAGCTTAACTTTAGTCGAAGACTAACTAGTCCATGGACGCGTATCTGGCACTAACTTCCGTATCTGGACTAACTGCCTCCACTTTAGAGAATATGGGCCCAATATTTTGGTTTTATTTATTAAAAAAATACGATATTAATTTTAATTCAGGCATACATCTAAGTGTCATATTCTGTGATCTGAGCACTGTTACCAATAGAATATACTAGTAGTACATTTTCCTCTGTACACTATTCTATGTTCCTAACTTTACAGCTCGATAATAGGGATTCGACTATGTCTGGTGCTAGCCTGTCTGTACCATCGTCACACAACAAACACATTTTTCATCATATCAAGCACGGCGAACTTTCGTCTAACTTTGTAAGTTGTCTTTAGAATTAGTTGTTCGTTTCCATTGCACGTAGTTTGTATTACAGGTATTCATATTCGTTGTGTGGGTGTGTGTGTGTGTTTGTGTAATGATGTTCGTTGTGTGATGTGTAAAATTAAGTATGTTACACCATAGACATACCTATTGGTAGCAAATTTAAAACAAAAGCAACCCCATAATTGATTTCACTTTCACACAACTAATCTGCTATAGTTCAAACCAAACCAAGCTTACAATCTTTCACATTAAAGTTTTGTTGTGTTAATGGTAAGTAAAATGCAACCTCTGATTGATAGTGATGTAATTAGAGGTTTTAGCCACAGTTTTCATTACGTGCAGGCGACAAAATTTGCAAATTGATTGAATGATTGATTGCATTTTGTTATTTACCAGAATATATGTATATGTGATTTTTCTACTAATCGAAATTCAACAAGTTTGTTTTTTTTTCTCTCCCTCTCTCTTTTCTTACCTTATCCTGCTTGCCAAAACTTATTTGCACTCTGATATCGTTCTTTATCATTATACTGCACTCTTTTCAATGCTACGTAATTTATGAACAATCTCATTGCATGTTTTAATTATCATGAACTAACTGAATTGCATTGTTGAATGACGTTTGACTTAATACTGTCAACTCTTTTTTCTCTTTCGACATTTTTGTTTTCATTACACTTGTTTTCTTGTATAAAATGCACGCATGTGTCTGTATGCTTTTCTTTATTCACGGGCCTTGTGCAATGCATTATTGTTAAATCCAACAAAATGCAATACAATATTATAAAATACACACAATAATAGACATCATCGCAATATGATCTCAGAAAAGCTGTCGAGATATCTGAACGTCCGTCGACAGCGAATAATAATCAACTTAAAGTAGATACATTTGGAAATACAAACGGGACGATAGTCATTAAAAGCAGTAGTTCGAACTCATTAGAGCTGAAAAGAAACTACAAATCCAATGGTGCCGACGAAGACATTGATTTAGAAAGTCTGGCAGGACTAAGCCAACATGGGTATGGTAGTCAAACACATTTAATTGTACCGGTATCACGGGGGGATGCAGACTCGGGCATTCATAGCGCACAAGGTCCTACTCCTAACCCTTACACAACTGAACTTTCTTCTGATCCTTCTGAAAATTCCAATTCTAAGACAAAAAGGCACTCCCTCGTACTGACAGCGCATGTCTTACCAATCGCTCATAGTCAAGCACCATCACAAGATGCTCCATCTGAACACAAGATGGAGGTAAGTTTTTACACTACATTTTCTTTATTTACTAATCCGTTATAGTACATTTTGAAAACTATGATGCCTAATCGTTTAGAACTATGATGATGACTGATAATTTGTGTTGAAACATTGAGACTGAAATTGATTTAAAGTTCCTAAAATTAGTGTTTCTTTAATGTAATATGTTTTTAGTATTGCAAGGTAATTGAACATTTTAGCAGGAAATAATATAATTGCCATCAATCGTAATAATGCATTCTCTGAATCCAATCCAATCCACCAAAGTATACTGTTAAATTTCAGGATGAAGAACCAAAGCTTACACCATGTCCTTGTCTTCCATCCATCAACATGTACTATCCTGACAAAGACGTCTTCAACGAAAGATGTGGGTGTATGTTCTACGTATTAAAATGGTTAATGTTTATTGTTAGTTTTCCTTTCATGTGCCTATTCACATGGACAATACCTCCTTGCAGTGAAGAACACAACCGGTAAGATATTTTTACTTTTCTTTTAAGCGAGCATACACTGCATCACAGCCAACGAATCAATCTCCGCTGTCTGCGAGCGCTTGGTGACTTGACGCCGTCTGTAATTGTCGACGACAGTCTTGAGTGAATCGTCATTAAAAATGTTCTTTTGCGCGCAATCTCTATGAAATCGCGTCAGATGACAGTCGGTGCAATGTTTGTCCGGTTTAACAAAAGACCTTCCTGTTCTTTAGAGAAATAAACCTTTCCGCTCAGCCCTGGTCCTTTGATATTGTTATGTGATCCCAAAAATGACAGTATTAAAGCAAACGTAAACGCGTGCGATCATGAGACAACACGTGTGATTGTTAGACGCGCGCGTATTCCATGACCCTATTCTGATTGGTCAGTTGTTAAGTTTGATTGACACTCCAAAAAGGTCCATTGCCTTCTTGTCATTATAATTCTCATAGTAACACGTTGTAGTCACCAAACAGTTTGCAGTATATTTATCTATTTATTTACCTTTTTAGATAAATGCATTGCTTTAATTATCTTTTCTATCCTTCAACATTTTTTTTTTTTTTTTTTTTTTGGTCTGAAACAGATTTTCAACACGTTTTCAAACCCTCAATTTTGTATAATCTTTAACAATTTTTCATAACGGAATGAAGTCTAATTTCTGAGCTTGGTGAAATTATAGGAAATGGTACCTGGTGTCTTTCTTTATGTCTATTTTCTGGATTGCTGTCCTGAGTTTTGCCATGGTTACATTGGTTGCCAAGACAGGGTGTATTCTTGAGGTTGATCACTACACTATGGGGCTAGTTGTTGTTGCTGTGGGAACCAGCGTACCGGTGAGTAAACTTATATTGTTTTTTTCTAATAAATGAGATATTCGCAGCCCAAAATTGTCCATGCGAAAATATTCGTATGAATGACGAACAGGATAAAGGTAAAGGTAGGAAAATAACCCATAACTCGCAGCGTCAATGTGCTGAATTGCTTATGGGCGTGGTCCGTGACTACCTAGCCGTAAAGAAGCGCTACATGCTCATATTATTCCACAACGACAGGGGCTGAATTGAACCATAGCTTCGGGGTAACCCCCTACTCTTCCGAAAGATGCAATGGGTGCACACGAGCCAGATGTGTACACTGGATGAATGTAGGTAAGAATGGCCCCGGAAAAAATGGCCCCAGAAAAAATGGCCCCGGAAAAAATGGCCCTGGAAAAAAAGGCCCCGGTAAAAATGGCCCCATAAGACAGGTAGGTAAAAATGGCCCCAATGAAAAATTTGGTAATATATTTTTTGATTGATTAAATAATTCTATTTTAAATAAGAAATGATTATGCACAGTAAAGGTAACATAGTACAACATTTAAAAGATCATTATATTAGTGCTACTGAAACTGTTAATTATTTCAAGGTTTTATCTAAGTGCAAATCCAAGTTTAATTGTTTATTTAAAGAAATGCTTTGGATCAAAGAACTGAAACCTACACTTAACAAACAAACTGATTCAGTCAGAGCCAAACTGTTTATCTAGTTAATCTGCTAAGAAGGGCTAATTATTGCTTAGCTTCACTGTGGCTCCACACAGTAGGCCCTATTGATATGTAAATTAATTACTTACTTCCTGTCACTGCTTGGTATTTTTGTTTTTAGTTTTTTCAATTTACTTGATCTTGAGAATGGTTCCATGGTGGACCCGAAATGTCGATCTTTCTTGTCATTAAATTTTGTTTTGAGATTATGTTCTTAATTGATTTAATAAATAAAAGCCACAAATAATAATTTGATTTACTAAATTTCATTATGTAAAAATAGTTATGCTTTAACATAGATTAAAAATATGTTATGCCTTACTTATTTTTAATTTATGGTCTTTTTAATTAATTTTCTTTTTTATTGGAAATTCCGTAGTGCAGAGTAAATTTATCAAAACCCATTAGGTTTACAGTAATATGAAAAAAAAATATTTAGTTTATACAGAAATAGTATTTAAAATGATCTCAATTTCCAAAGTTAAAGCAAAAGATCTAATCTAAACACACAATATTAGGCAGGATGTATTTGTTTGGAAAAAAACCCACTCTTTTGTGAAATTAGGAGGGTATCTTTGAATATTTTATCATTGAATTTTATTTATCTTTGAATATTTTATCATTGAATGTTAATTCTTGCAAAAAGTAAAATGTAAATGGCAATTTGTTTGATGTTAGATTCCTTTTAATAACTAAATTATTTAAGATAAAAAAGTGCATATATTGAATCAAGAAAATCAGTTTTAATACAGAATTTGATTATTGGGGCCATTTTTACCTACCTGTCATATGGGGCCATTTTTACCGGGGCCATTTTTTCCGGGGCCTTTATTTCCGGGGCCATTTTTTCCGGGGCCATTCTTACCGTACACCCACTGGATCACCATTTGAAGTCCTTATTCGAGAAGACTTGGTTCTACAAACCGCACCCTTGGCGAGGAGCGTCTGGAACCGGCGCCGATGTTAAGGCTGTAGTTAGCGATGTTAAGACTGTTTGCATTTGCGAATGTACTTTCTTTAAGCTTAATGTTAACATTGAATTGCATTACGGAGTAAAATATTATGCGAAACAGCGTTTTCTCGATCAATGCTCTCTGAGTTATCAACACCTCATCTACAGCTCTGTTCATACTACCAAGTCATGTGCTAAGTACATGTGATTTGCCCTTGTGTTGATTGTGACTCATGACTTCATAATGCCCATATATGGACAAATGACGTATTTGTCCCAAAAGGTGTTATTGTGCACTGAACTTCAGTGCGTAAAATGTTAACATACAAATTAATGTATTTATGCATGTCTAAGAAATATGAAATATTATGTATATTTTACGACTAACTTTCTTATAACTAAAACAGAATTAATAATGAAGATGGATATATTTGAGTAAAGTTAAAGACAGTGGTGTATCTAGGGTTGGGTATTGACATGAAGGGGTGATGATTGATGATGATAATGTTTGTTGCAGGACGCGCTCAGTTCAATCCTTGTGGCTCGTGATGGTTTTGGCGACATGGCAGTGTCAAACGCAATAGGATCAAACGTATTTGATATTAACCTAGGCCTTGGACTCCCATTCCTCATCAAAATCATCATCGATAAGGGAGAGGCACTGCAGCTCCTTAGTGACACCGAAATGGTAGGTTTACAACAATACCTTAAACGTAAATATAACAACAACAACAACAACGCAGCAGCAGCAGCAACAGGAACATCAACAACAACAGCACTACTTGATTGAGTCCAAATTCGGCAAAGATTCGTTGTGACTAACTACTCATTTAAAAAAACAAAAACATTTATTAAGTGAGCAGTCTTGTTGTTTTACCTGCCATTATTAATCTAACATCTAACTCTTGAAGTAATATACAAATGAAAAGTTGAGGGTACTTTTTCTTATCCATCACTTTCAACCAGTAAACTTATATATATTATTATAAAATATCTTCTTGAAGATCCCGTCTTGTCGTCCTAATGCCTAAAATGAAGGTTTATCACATTTATTAGCGACGCATCGTGAACTAGTGCTGCTCAACTACACTTGCGCAAAAGATCGATTGCTTTAACGGGAATACCCAACGAATTCAAGTTGGTGTTTGCTTAGACAGCAAAACGTCCCGGATTCGAATCTCTTTGGAGCACCCGTAGTTTCCCCGTTCAACAGAAATATGTTGGTGTGAAACAGATACATAAAAGTACAATTGCTATATTCAATTGAGCTTCAATATAAGTGATGACATATTTTATTACCAATTTGAAATTATAATTATAGCTTACTCTGGTGCTCAATAAGTGTCAGATTTATGTTTTATTATCCAATTGTTCAAATACACTCTGATACGTGTGTTTTGATGAAAATACAAAGATGAATATATTTTGAAATGAAATCACATATTTTTTGTTGATTTTTGGAAACAATTTGTATTACCTGCCATACGTAAGAAGGTACTTTATATATTCACAATAATAATATTTGTTATTATTAATATTGTTGTTTTTTTGTTTGTTTGTTTTTTTTTTTCATTTTATGTTTTGTTATTATAGGCTATGTATCAGAATAATGAGATGGTCATCACTCCGCACGCAAAATTTGGATTCGCATTGCTGCTTATTCTCTTCATAACACTAGTGGTATTTTTTAGTGTTCGATTCAGGCTCAACAAGGTCGTAGGATTCAGTTTTGTGATGATGTATATACTATTTATGGTCTATGCTTTTATTCAAGAATTAGTATGCGATTACGATTGCTAGCAGTAACCAAAAAAAAAAGAAAAACAACAACTACTTCCGGTATATTCTGTTTGGAATAACTTATGACGAACAAGTGTTGAATAACAAAAACATTTTAATATCATTCATTATTAAAAACCAGACTCTTTTGTGAGTGACCTTCGAATATATGATAAAAAATATAATATTAAGAGATAACCGATAACCAAATATGAATATTGTATATAAACAAAAGTCTTTCATATAATATTTAGATTATCAGTTGAAGGATGTGATGATTCTGTATTTATTTTAAAAATTTAATTACTCTATACCAAAGAATTTCTAGAAAAAATATTGAATTTAAACTGATTAATTAACTTCATGTGAACTTGTTTACAATCGTTCATATAATTTGATGTTTCATTTAACAAGACTTGCTTATTTTATTTGGCTGTGTTAGTGTGTGAAAATGAATACGGGTTTTCCATATAACAACATACTTCAAACTTAACTTTGAAAACGTGTTTGTAAATATTATAAAAATTAATTTGTATTTATTGCATTGTAAAATTAAACGATTGTTATCGCCTGTGAAATGATTGTGTCATTGTAAAAGTGTCTGTTCGACTATATTCAAATTTGGTTTGCTGTATAGCCCCGTAAACGCAATATAAACAAATGGATAAATAATAATAACAGTGCTCGAATAGAAACAAGATTTTTTAATCGTATCAAGCATAGCCCTATAACGAAAAGTTCCTTTATTCAGTTGTACGAAAAATATTGTCTCTAGCGGGATCGACCTTGCAACCTCTCGCTATTAAGGCGAGTGTCATACCCAATAGACCTACACGTGCAGATCTAACCCCTTGGCACTTTCATATAACTGACAGAAACGCTCACACGTATTGGAACTATTCCATATCTATATCTATGACTATTTTTACCAGGCTAATTTCGACGGATTCATAACGCCGAGTGTCAAATTCCGTGTAATCAATCAATCAATCTTTTCAATCAACTTTTATATTCGGAATTTCCTCCATAACAAATACAAAAAAGGAAAAGATAAATAATATTCTTATTCTTATTCTTTATTCGCCAAAAAAAAAAGTACAATACAATGGTGGAATACATATACAATACAAGTACAATAAATTGAATGAGTTGGCAGGAACACAAAAGCGAACGCAATCACTATAACACAAAGTCTGTGAACCTCACTCATCCGGTTTAACATAAATACAATATTACAGACTGTAGGCAGTTATAAAACCTGCTCAATACAAAAGTGTATTCCACTTGGAAAACATAGTCGAGTAATATAATACTGACTTGACAACACCTTTAACCGGGCTGTTTTCAGAAGCATATTATCCTAATAAATAATAACAACAGTGAAGGTGATTCAGGATCCTGTTTTGATTTATGCAGTTAACAAAAGAATTGAAACGAATAGCCAATGTGTTAAGGCATGCATGGACGCGGTTACCTTTCACATTTAACTATTTAACGGTCTTTTTGATGGAAAGTGTACGATGTAATTTAATCTACCAAATGTAGAGCTAATTTAGTGTCAAAATTAACTCGGATTCGAATAGAACTAAGGGCTTGTACTATGGATAATTGGGACAGAGTTCGAGTTGGATCGATCGAGCACCATAACGTAAACACCAGTGATGGTTATCGAATGCACACTCCCCTGCTCTGCATCTCAATATCAAGCGATTCATACATAGAGCTAAAAACAGACCCTTGTGTTTAAAGAAACGGAATGAACATAAAGTTATGTATAAACACAAACACATTAACTAATTTATCATTAAAAATAATGTCACCATTAATATAAGACTAGAAATTGCAAATTGCAAGTGAAGTGCCGCGAAGTACAACTGCACATAAATGTTCTTCGAACAAAATTATTTATGCGAGTCAAGTGAAAATAATGAATAATAAAAATATAACAAATAATATGAGCCACGACCCATTGTCTATATTAGAACACTTCTCATTGGTTAACAAGGTCGTAATTTTTCATTTTTGTCAAAAAGTGTCTATAGGTGAATTATGGTTTAGGTTTTTTTTAATAAAGTTTCAAAAATTTCTATGTATGTGGAAAATGTAGTTGATTACCAAAGGTTACAATTTTCATTTTGAAGACTGCATGGTCTAGGAAGTGTAATAATAATGAATTATTGTGATGTTAAATAGACAATGTTAGCTATCAAGGAGCGACGTTGTTTTTCATTGAGACCTTCGTCCCTTCAAGGCTAGGCCTATACTATCCTAGCTAGTCTAGGCCTAGAGTAGTCTACAAACGTCGCCTAAAGTAATTGATTTTACCCGGCAGAACGAAAGAAAGAAACTCCGCTTTTCAGTCGTCTTAGGCCCTTGTTTTTTTGACAAACAATGACCTTTCAGAGGTCAAATTGCTGTCAAGAATATGAATTGGCTGCTTCGCAGCAATTAAATTAACACGATTCCAGCTATAGCCTAGATGTACTTTTTAGTTCCTATGCATGTAATGCAATAGGAACTATTGTAATCACTCTTCACTGTTTTTCCTTTGTTTTTTATTGTGTGTATGCGTGTGTGTGTCAGGGTTGCCAGATAGTCGACAGTCTTCACGGCCAGACACACGCCATCTCACGGCCAAATTCGGCCAAACTTTTTTCAATACCGGCCAAAATTCGGCCAGATTTTAATCCGACTAGAAGACAAAAGTGGGTACATAATTACACGAAAATCAGTCATTCGTTAGAAATTATAAGAAATTCAAATGATATACACAGAACAATGTTAAAATTTCACTGTTTTTCATTTTTAATTATCACCATAAAATACATGCCCAGCTACATCATTATAAATAGCCTATGTTCTTTAGTTAGTTGCTGGCATGTAGGCCAATTCAGGGGCGAATCCACAGATGTCCGAGAGTAGGAGGGGCCGTGGCCGAAAAAGATAACACCGTCTTGGAGAAATGTTTGCTTTCTAGACGCCCGAAAATAACCTCTGATGCGTTTGGGCGATCAATTTTTCTTTTCATGATGATCATCGAGTTCTACATAAAGAACACTGCAGCACCTAGGCCTATACAGTTCAAATGGGCAATAATAAATTAATTAAAGTACAGTATTTAATTTATATTTAAAATTGATTCCAAAAAGATAGAACCACTAGGATGGAACATATGCAAACACACACAATATATGGTACAAACTTGCATTAAACTGTCTTCATAAAGCTTAAACGAGGATAAACTTCATATAAAATAATAATATTTCATCCGAACAATTATTAAATGTAACTGTTATCTTTTAAATAAACTCTCTTACGTCCAATCGGCTAAAGGGGTCCGGATAACAGATCTAGTATAGATTAAGCGTTTAGTGCAATACAAACAAAGGTAGGCCTACATGATTAGAATCAAATATCGAATTTAAGCTAACAAAAACAACATATCCAAAACAAGTCTACGTTATATTAGGCCTATAGGCCTATTGAAAAAAAATGTAAATTTTTTTAAAAATTCGGCCAAATATATTTTGGCCGTGACTTTTCAAACGTTACGGCCAGGCAAATTTTTATACGGCCAGATTTGAGGAATCTGGCCATAAAAAAGGCCAAATGGCAACCCTGGTTGTGTGTAGACATTTATGCGAATGCGCATGCGTCAAAGAAAAAGTTTTCCGACATTTTGTTTTACCTCGCGATGCGACTGCGAAGTTCGATGTGAAGTTTCTGCAGAGTTCAGTCAGGGCTCACGCAAACCGATCGGCAAGTCGGCATGTATGAAACTATTTTGGTTTTACGGCAAAAAAAATCAACTGCTGTGGCATAGGTATTTTGTAGAAGGCCTAAAATAAAACAAAAAGGTTTTAATACTTGCTGAAATACATCGTTTTTTCATTTAGATCTCCATTTTTCACTAACTCCATGCGACGTTTTTTTCTGTTGTGTATGAGTAGTCATATGAAGGTACTATATCCCCGACAGTTGGCTATGCAGCAATGTACCCTTTGAATGCAAATTGAAGACAAGTGAGGATATAAAGGCAGCCGACTGTCGGGTACATAACGACTATCTAACTTTCCACAAAAACACGAGGCCTAAGCTAGGCCTAGACGCAGGGTTCCCGGAACGCCGCCCTCAGCGGCGTGTGCGAAGCACAACACAGGCTCAGAAGTGGAACGTGAATTTGGATATGGTTTTGTAGTCAGATTTGCGAGAAAAACTTCAGCTACCCGTATTTCTCGACTGAGACGTCAGTAGGAGCTGTAATTTGTATGGCAAGGAGATTGAGCAACCCTTCGTTCATATTAAGGGAATTTACGCCCAGAAACTTTGTAGTTATTAATATTTTGGTTATGATAGAAAATATTCATTTTTTGGTGACGTCACACTCACTTTAGTTAGCATGCATACGTCATAAGGTAGATAACATCTGTATTGTCGGAAGGTTCATTGATACTAAACGTCTTTTGCATGATTCCAGAGCTAAGAAAACACAAAATATAAAAATAAGTTTATTGAACTAAGAATGAAAATACATACTTAAATGAAAGGATTTGATTTATATTGATGTAAATGAAATCCTTCATCTAATTGAAGGATTTGATTTGATATATATTCATGTTCAAATATGTTTATTAATTAATAAACTGTTAAACTGCTATTAATTCACAAACTGTTGAATGATCTGTCTGCTCATATTCGCGAGTCTCCTTCATTGGCTACTTTTAAGAAGGAGCTTAAAACTCACAATTTGCATCTTTGTGATCTC